AGCCTTAAAATTGGCAAGTTTGGAGACCCTTGAATTATATGTTTGTTTTTATTGTGACTGCTGAAATCCAGATGTGGTTTGGTTACCAGGCTGATATGGAGATACCATATCTAGCTGTAGCAATTGTAGATTGCTGTGTGAAGGGAGGATGTTGTTGGGTGCTGAGCTAAGGGGGCTAATGTTGGATCCTTATTTATGTCTTTCGATACATCTATAGATATGGATAAAATTCTGTACCCCTGTTAATCACTGCTTGGAGTGAATGTCACACGTGAATTGTCTTGCATTTTTCAATCTGGCCTGTTCTACTTTTCCCACTGCTTCCCAGTTAAGTAATACTTGAGGTTGTTTGTGTAGAGGGAGATTAGTGCAGTGCAGATAATCCCAAAATACAAGTCTTCATAAACACACAAAAGTAATCTAGGGATACTAAGAATAAGCAGGGAGAAGATATAGTTTAACAACTGTAAGAGATTAGCACTGCTGCAAACAGATGGGCCTGAAATTTAGCAAACACACAACAGCTGGGAGGCCAGCTATTCCAGCAATTATTTGTATTGTCATTGGTGAGCAAGACTTGTGTCTGATGATCCCTAGGCCATCCCTATAATTCTTATTCACCTTAAGCAACTAAAGAGGAGCAATAATTCCTAAAACTGTCTCTGTAAGTGATGTTCATATAAACACCATTAGAATGAACTGTGCACATGCAGTTATGATTGTCATGAATACATTCCTGTGCAAGAATAGATACTTCAAATGCCACTGAATATAATTACTCTTAGCTATGGTATGTGATTTCAAACAGCCTGACCTACGTGCAAAGTTGCAGCCCTGTTGTATATTCCCCACCTTCATTATAACTGGTTGAACAAAAAGGTGTATTTTGCTCCAAGACACAAAACCTGTTAAGCTCATTATCTGCTAACAAATTTGCAGTCTTCTTCCCATCTCCAGTAAAGGCTCTCAACCTTATCCCCACAGGGCAACGTCAGGAAACATCACATCAAACCAAACATTTAAGAAATGCTACCGGTGTCTGTTTTAATTTGTACAAAAGGGATGAGTCATACTTTACATTTTTATATTAAAAAATAATAATGCACCACAGAAAAATTTATATGTTAAGAAACTAATTTGCCTAATTTGTGTATTTGGTTTAGAAAAAAATAATGCCATTAATTGAATACTGCAGTCAAAGCAGTATTTTTTTTTTAAAAAAAAGATTAATCACTAAGAAACAAACGATGATACACAAAGCAGTCCAAGGAAATAAACAATTCCCATTGCTTTTGGAAGTCATACATGAAACCACAGCATTATTGGCAAAGCACTATTGCAGGGATAAGGAAGGCTTTGCAAAAGATGAAAGCAAAAAGCAATGCAATTAGCATTTGCTTTTGCTAAGGTCTGATGATTGCATTCTTTATCATGTAGTATATTTTAGTCAAAGGAATATTTACTGAAAATAAACATAATCAATTAGCACCTGAGTTCTATGTGCACCCAGGTAAGGCAACAAAAAAATACAGCATTACCTATTACACCGGGAGCTTCTGTTGTTTGTCATTATGGTACAAAGACTAAGAAAAATGATGCTGGGTAAACCCAAACCATCATCCCTCTTCCAATAGCAGCCAGCAAATACACATGTCATTATTGATTAACAACAGCAAACTATCCTTAGACATGGAACTGAATATTTAACTGACTTCCTAGCTATTAGCTCTTGCCTGAAAGAACTAGGTTTCAAGTATATATTTGAGAGCAAGGACAGATTTTTTAAAAGGTGATCACCCAGTGTCAATCCATGTCATGGAGTAACCTCTTTAAAATCTTTCTTCCAATATTCAAGGACTTCAGGAGGCAAGGTCAGCTGTGTGATAAAGTCACGCCAGACGCGTGTGTGTGGGGGGGGGCATGGGAGGTTGGCTTTGTGTACCACATTTCAAAGTCTGTTCTGAATAATACCTGCTTTGGCACAACATTTAGAAATAGCTACCATGAGGATAGCTGCATCGTATAGAATCCCCTATAGAATTAGTCTCTTTAATTGGAGGTCATTAATTTGATATCTGGAAATAGAAATGCAGAAAATGTATAGTATATCATATATTTTATATTTACTAGCAGCTTTGCAGTCAGTGGGGGAGGAACGAATCAGTGGTATGACAAGCTCTGTAATATCCAGAGAAGCAGTTCTTGGACTAAAGCTAAAAAGCCCTTTAGACACGTACATCTTCCTTGGGAAAATTAAGCATTGGCTCGGCCATAATCAATTAGGCGCTAGGAACACTCAGGTGTGAAGAAAGTTGCAAGCGATAATGAGATGTGAAAGTGCTAACTGCAAGAATGCTAACTAGGACAAGGAGGAACTAACAATTAGCACTGAGAACCCAAGGCTTTTAGAAATCAGCTAGAGGAATGAAGCTACTTTGATATGCTTCCCCTGACTCTTTGTTCTAACTTAAAGATGGCACTGCATCCATTTGCTATTTCACTTTAAAGCCATGCACATTAACTTGATAACCTGATCAATGAATCACAATCAAATTAACTCTATAAAGAAGGTTGGCTAACCTTCCTTATTTAGACTTGCTTTTACCTCCAGCAACAACTAATAACCCAATTTATTTCATTGATGGTGCACTTGCCTCCAGTTTAAAGAAACTCAGACAGTTCTTTTAGCTGTTGTATGGTGATTTTGTGTATATATGGAAACAACTTGGCCTCTTTAAGATATACAGAGTTCAAGTCCCGTGTAATGGATGGGGAATTCTGGAAGTTGAAGTGCATACATCTCAAAGGGAACAAGTTTGAAAAACATTGACTTAGACTAGGGATGTCAAATTCACGTCATCACGGTGGTGGCATGTCAGAGGTGGGTTTCAACCGGTTTGCGGCGGTCTCCGTGAACTGGTTGGTCGGTGAACCCGGAAGTAAGTAACTTCCGGGAACGGCGAAGGGCCCACCCGCCCGCCCG